TTTATTTATTTATTCTTTATTGTACACACTGAACACATACATATATATGTGACAAGGAAATGTCATGTACAAAGGCGAGCTTAACCCAAAACTGAGTTTTCTTCCAGCAAACCTTGAGCGAATAGAGGACAACAGAGAAACGTAAGGGCACAGTCATGCGTACGTAGGAATCAACACAGAAAAGCATTAAATTAAAAGAGTATAAAGTTTTAAGTAAGTAAAACTAGTAATTGTAGAGTTTGCATGTTCAATTAAAACTTTTTTTAACAGTGTTTACCGAGCTAAATCACCTGAGAACACAATGAGAAGTTCACAATTTTAACAGTCCGAATTAGAAATCATCTATGTTGATGATTTCGGGCTTTGTACAAAGACAGACTCAGGATTCGCTTAAGAAGTTTTAATTGTTTCGATTCCCATATGCCAGTTGGTGTTCTGCTATATGCTGATATAGTAAAATTATAATTACAGGATTGCCGTGGAAGAGCCATACTTCGGCACGAATGGGCCAGCTCGACCGGACACACCACGGCCTCACAGAAAACCTTTCGGTGCCTGTCACTGAGTGAGTGAGGTTCATCGACAGCCTTTACTAGTCCACTGCTGGACATAGGCCTCTCCTTAGAAAGGAGGTTTTGGCCTACTACACCACGCTGGCCAGACGGGTTGGTATAGGGTTTGTGTCAAGTTTTCCTTCTCTCTGCAGTGCTGTTGTCCTGCGTAGTTTGCTCCCTTAGTCGCCTTTTACGACACCCACGGGATGAATAGGGAGTGAGGTTACCGGAGCCTAAATCCCCCTCCCGCTGACTTGAGCGGGAGGGACTCCAAGGGCAGCAACGCACTTGTGACTTTTGAGTTGCGGGTGTCCTTGGGTGGCAGTAGTTGCTTGCCATCGGGTGACCCGTCTGCTCGTTTTCCCCCTTATACCATAAAAAAAAACATTGAGGCAATCAGGAGGCAAAAACATTACCTGACGTGTCTTTCCGGTTGCCCTTCACTAAAACGTAGGTTAACTACTATATAAGTTTTGAGATGCTCGAAATTTGAAAGTGGAACGCATCTGTGTCATATATGATTAAAAGGCAAATTTATTTGAAAATCAAATATAAATAAAAAGATTGATGTATTCTAATGTCATAATTGCCCGTTTTTTCGTCTGTTACAAGCTTAAACGTGAATATTTGCGTGTTATGATATTTTACGACTTTAAATGTGCTTTATCTGGACGTTTAAGTTTAGAACGTTCAAAAATCAGCCTTAGGTGAGACTGCTTGTTCTCGAGCAACCATTTTTAGATGGTTTAATGAATTTAAACCATCCACGTTTTTAGCCTTAACGGTGATGACAGAATTGGACACCCGCCAACGGTAGTCTCAAACAAATATTAAAAAAAATACAGGAATCGTTGGATATCTCGTTTGCTCTCCGAAACGGAAAAAGAAGCCTGAGTAGAATAGTGCCGTGAGATGCGTCTAAGTTTTGAAAATGGGAGCAAGACGTGTTTCTGAAATCATTATTAGAGACGAAACATGGATATATTAATATGATCCAGAAAGCAAGAAGCGTTCCTCGATATGGGTGTTTCCAGATGACCAGTTGCCAACAAAATTGCAAAGACCGCAGCGATTGGCAAACAAGATCAATGCTCTAAATTGTACGTTTGTTAACGCAGAATGGTACACTACAGTCGCACTCCCAAAAGTTTTCAAAGCTGTGCAGGAGAGACGACCAAAGACCGGGCTGCAGGGAATGATGCTACATCACCACAATGCGTCTTCATACTCTTCCCTCAGTACAAAGGCGTTTATTCAAGAATCGGATATTGAAAGTGTACCTCACCCACCTTACAGCTCCGACTTAGCTCCTTGTGTCTTCTTTTTATTCTCCACCATAAAAGATAAGATAAAAGGCAAGTTTTCTTCAAGTACCGAAAAAGCGGTGCCGGTAGCTGCCTACGAATCAGCCATTTTTAGGGTTCCGTACGAATCCTTATAAGATCACTTTCTTGTCCGTCTGTCCGTGTGTCACCAACGATTTTCTCAGGAACGGGTAGACCTAGAGAAATTTATACCAGATACTGAGGTCTATGGTCCCTATTAGGTGTATAAAAATCAATTTCGATATTCGCGAAAATTTGTAAGTACCAAAATTTACCTTAATTTTTAACTTTTTTTATTCTTCTGAATTTGCTCTTTACTTGTACTGCAGGGCCTTGCTTTTAACCAAAATTGAAAATTCTAGATCAACCGGAAGTACCCTATAGGTTTTGGGTCGAAAACCTAGGCACAAAGAAACGTCTTACAGCACTAATAAAGGAATAATTCCAAAAAAAAAAAGTTGTAAATTAAGCTAAATTTTGGTACTATATAATACTGGTATTCGGCGCACGAGTTCGACTCGTACCTGACCGGTTGTACTGCAGGGCCTTGCTTTTAACCAAAATTGAAAATTCTAGATCAACCGGTAGTACCCTATAGGTTTTGGGTCGAAAACCTAGGCACAAAGAAACGTCTTACAGCACAAATAAAGGAATAATTCCAAAAAAAAAAAGTTGTAAATTAAGCTAAATTTTGGTACTATATAATACTGGTATTCGGCGCACGAGTTCGACTCGTACCTGACCGGTTTTGACCTTTCGGTGGAAGACTGGAATAAGTGTTTTCAAAACTGGTTTAGGCGGATGGAAATTTGTATAGAGAGTGATGGAGGCTATTTTGAAAAAATATGAAAAAAATTGTAAGTATATATTGTTCACTTTTTGCGTGGCTTACTGACTTACGTACACCTACCTTCAAGCGGCAATGTACTAATTTAGTCAGGTGTGCGATTGCATCGCAAAATCCACCTCCAGGATAATGAATTCACTCGAGTTCCGCCGACATGGGGAAATATGGCGGAAGAAGTATATCAAGCATCATTAATCGAATCGTATTTATTAACGGTTACATCGATTGCGAATAAACCAAAAACAATTCTTTAGTTCAAATCAGAGATCCAACGCGATATCGATGGGATACTGCCACATCTCTATGTAAAAGTCATGGAAAATTTCATGAAAAGAGTAATGGCCTGTCATCTGTCATTTGCCGGATATTCTATTCCATACTTAATCGGAACACGTCTTCTTTACAATCCAATAAAAATATCACAACTCTTTCATAAAATACGTGTTTTTATTTTAAAATGAAAGAGTGCCCTCTTACTGAGACAACTTTATAAATCTTGTATCCAATTTTCTGCTGTATAAATACAACAAAAGTTTAAATTTTATATTATATATTTGATAGTGGACAGTAGGCTTTTGTGGCCTGAATATTTTATTGGTTAGTAGTCTCTTTCTCATCATCAATAACAGCTTTTAATGGTCAACTGCTGGACATAGGCCTCTCCTTAGAAATGATGTTTAGGCCTACTACGAGTATACCACGCAGACTGGTCGGTATAGGTTTTGTGTCAAGTTTTCCTTCTCTTTGCAGTGCTGTTGTGATGCGTAGTTAGTGTAAGTAAATAACACCCACGGGATGAATACATGGACTCTGTAATTCGTCACAACACGATTGTCTCTTTATAGATTTCTGTTATTCCCACTGAAGTCCTAACTTCACAAATATTTGTTTAGTAACACTGCTTCTATTAAACTAATTACTGATAAAAGAATTAAATAGTAAATTCTTTTTCCATTTTTTTATAACAATACCATTAAACGCTTGGTGTAACCTGGTGCTGAGAATTATATCCTATTTTCAAAAACATAATTCTAGTAATTAAAATGCCTCCGGTTATCCCTTCGGACATCCAAGCTTAAGTGTATGTTGTTTGTTTATGTCTTTTAAAATATAGTTTTCGAGTGATTCACCGATGAGCGCTTCAAATATACAGCCTTCGCATTTATTTCGTTTATTTTGCAAATAGTATAAGGTTACTCAATTATTTAAGTAGATGTGGTCACTTGTTAAGCTATTTCATAACTAGACCTTCGAATAAGTCGTCGGTTACTCGCATAAATTTTATTACAAAGGATTTTGTAGTAAAATACTATATTAGGCCATGGGTATAATCTTTTGCCAACTTGGGGTTGAGGTCCTTGGAAAGAAGTTCTAATGTAAAGATTGGCGTGGTGCTTAAGTATAATTGTATGTTCCTATGTTATTTTATTATTTATTATTTAATTTTAATATTTCTGTTACGGTGGTCATATCAAAGCAATAGAAAAATAACGTAAACGTGTTTAGAACGAAATTTTATTACAAATGTTGAAGACTTTGAATACTGACTATTTACTGGTTACTGATACTCATTTTCTTTTTTATTACAAGTGATGTGTATGTTAACCAAACTTTAAATTGTGATTATAATTTACAATTATATGAAATTAGGGTAGAGATTCCGTACAGGCTTTCAGTGATTGACTATTATGTTATGAAAGAGAAATAAAAAGAAAATACCCATTTAATATTTTTTAGCACAAGTTTGAATGAAGTTTTAGTTTTTAATAATTCTGTCATAAGTTTTAATGGAAGAACACTACTCTACTCTAAACACTACTCTTTTTTTAAATTTTTTTAAGGTTTCTTAAAGAAGTAATAACTTTTATTATTACTTTTATAAATATTTATCGTGTATATGAGTATATAGTTGTAGCGTTAATAAAAGACTACACACATATTTAAATATGACATATCTTTTGGATAAACATTTTTAAGTATATTTATATATATATATATACCCGAGTATGTGAGAAATAAACTTTCGGTTTGTAGTCAAAGAGATTGAGCAAAATCATTGATTACTATGTATAAGGACAATTAGTATATAGTCCAGCATAGGGTTGATGAACGTTCACATGTCCTTAGCCAACGGAGTGGAGGTGGAGTTGTTAGTTATTGGCAGTGCCGGCCGACACCGCGAACCGGCTGGCCGATACCTCGGCTCTTCAATCGGTTTCCACATCTGTGCATTTTGCGAAACGATTCTGCGTTCATTGTGTAAGATCTATCAAAATGTTGCTCACTACAGTGCTCCTGTTTGTGCTGCATTTTGTCACCGCTGATATACGTAAGTTAAAATACTTGTTTTACAACATGTAATTCAATTAAAAAAAAGTCGTAAGTGAAAAAAATGTCCGCAAACAATCAGTTCCAAATACAAAATAGTTTACTTTCGTTTTTTTTTTTCTAAAATAGGCAAATGTTTCGAACAAAAAGTTTTTTTTTTGAAAATTTGTATAATTAAAACAAATCTAATTTATATTTTTTTTTATTAGTGATTTTATCGATATAAAATGATGTTTTTCTAGTAATAAGTAACATTTACTCAGACTCTAAGACATAACTCAGATACAATACACGCACCTCCTCCGTTCTTCTTTTACATTTAAAAAATAGATTTAACAACGATTACTTGGTAAAGCTATCTTTTTGTAACCGTAAATCTGTAATTAGGAGCCGGTTATGCATAAGATTTTACTGTGGTAAATGTAAGAAAACTGTATCGCTTTCTACAAACCTTTTTTAAGAATAAACAATTTTGACAAAAAATAACAACTTTTACTATAAAACTATGTATTACAAATATCTCGCAACTGTACAGGCGCAGATCAAGTCGTGTGTTGGGACATTATTGCAGAACGTTGTGTTATTGCGATAAACGTCTATTATAGCCCACTGATTACTGACATAGATACTGATCTTATAAAAACACACATAATCTACATATTCCACAATTACATCAAAAATTATCTTCCGCGATCATTAATTCGAAACTACGATGAATCTGTGTCATTCATCCTCTTACTTTCGGAAGCATATCTACATACCTACCTACATTAAAATCATACGCAATAATAGCGATAAATGTTTATTTGTTTGTTTAGGCCCGACAAAAATTGTTTACATTTTTACATTATTATGCCAAATTCACTACTTTCCAACGTAATCTTATAATTACTTAAATACAGATTAAGAAGAAAATCAAATATAGCTAATATTCCATCACAGTAATCATTGAAATTGGTATTTGTGTCCTAATGACAAGAATAAGAAGAACAAGTAACGATAAGAAAGGATAAAGAAAGAAAAAAAAGAAGAATAAAATATTTTATTACTAAAAAGAAATTGCAACACAACAACAAATCGAACTAAAACTTGAAATGCAGTTCCTGCTTTAATCACTGCCAGAATCGCTGTTGAAATTTAAATCAAAAAGCTATTTACATACGTGGAAATTGCAGTATTTATATACTCCAAAGACTGGTTTTTAGGGTTCCGTACCTAAAAAGGTAAAAAAGGAACCCTTATAAGATGACTTTCTTGTATTTTTAACAAAAAGTACAATTGATTCATTAATTTTGTGGTTATTTAGAATTTTGCAATATTTTCATAATTTGTGCACAAATAAAACAGATGTGCCGTAAATTTTATATCTTCTACACTTTGTCAAAGAAAATGTAATTATCATTAAAATAAGAAACAAAGCAAGATATAAGCAATTTAGGGTTCCGTACCTCAAAAGGTAAAAAGGAACCCTTTTAAGATCACTTTCTTGTCCGTCGATCCGTATGTCCGTGTGTCACCACTGATTTTCTCAGGAACGGGTTGACCTAGCAAGTTTAAATATACACCAGATACTGACGTCTATGGTCCCTATTATTAGCATAAAAATCAAGGTCCTGAGTCCGAATATAAAGATCCATATCTTCTAGATCTATCTTTGTAAGACCTTGCTTTTAACCAAAATTGACAATTCAAGGTCAACCGGAAGTACCCTATAGGTTTTGTTTCGAATACCTATATGGTAGTTCCCGTTTACCTAGAATCACGAAATTTGGCAAAAAGAAACGTATATATAGCACAAATGAAGGAATAATTCCAAAAAATAAAAAAGTTAAAAATTAAGATAAATTTTTATTACTTACAAATTTTCGGCAAAATCTACGTAAAATCTGGGTAGGTACGGAACCCTCGGCGTACGAGTTCGACTCGTACCTGACCGGTTTTTTCATCGTATTTTTAGTTCTTTCTAGAAGTTTTGTTATACATTCTACATTTATGTCAATGTTCAATTTATCTAAACAAAAACCAGTTTTTTATGCCGTGTTTAAATTTTACCGTTATTAAAGAAAACATGTATTTTACCGTTATTTATTAAAGATCCGATTTGACAACAAACAAATAGAAATGGACACTAATATCATTTTTATAAATAAACTAAAGTTCCATCAACAGCCTTTAGTAGTCCATTGCTGGACATAGGCCTCTCTTTAGAAAGGAGGTTTTGGCTTACTAAACCACGCTGGCCAGACGGGTTGGTGTAGGTACTGCTGTTGTTGTGCGTAGTTTTCACCATTAATCAACTCATACGATACCCACGGGATGAATAGGGGTGGTGACACTCCGTGTTCTTAATCCACATCCACGCACACGGATTTTTTAAGTTTTTAAAGTTTAGTGTGTTGATTTTCGTTGACTCTTTTAGTATCAATATTAGAATTCTTAAGCCTTAAGCAATGTTTACCAAATGATTCCTTACTTGTTTCATGAAACCCCTTAAGTTTCTTTAAAAATAATTACCTTTTTATCTCTCTATCTATGTATTATGTTACATTTGTCATGAAATCTCTTTTTTAGTTTCTGTGCATCTGCCATTTTTTAGCTCTGCATCGCCCTAACGTCGACTGGTAGAAAATTCCTAAGCATTAAGTTCACTTTGATCACGTTTCTACGAGTATGTGCATAGAGTATAAATATATAAAATAAAATAATAGCTGAATATTTTTTTTTTACCGTGCATCATGTACGTGAATAAATTAACAATAGTAATATGAGAACAGCCACTGTTTTTATTGAATGTAACAAATCAAAATGACCAACTTTCACTGTTATTTTTAAAATGGCTTTTGTCAAGAATTACGAGTTGTGTAATTGCCAAGACTTGAGGTCAGCGAAATATCTGAGTAATTATTTTTTTCTTAAATGACGATGTAAGCAGTGACGTGGAACAATTTATTTGTAATATGAATATCGATATCAGAAGAAATGGAAAAATATGCGACGTTTTTAATACGTGCGAATTAAATAAACTATACAACCCATTTCAATGCGCGCAATTTTCATAGAGTTTAGTTCATTAGTATTTTTTAACAAAAAGTACAATTGATTAATTAATTTTGTGGTTATTAGAATTTTGCACTATTTTCGAAATTCGTGCTCAAATAAAACAAAGATGTGCCGTAAATTTTATATCTTCTACACTTTATCAAAGAAAATGTAATTATCATTAAAAGAAGAAACAAAGCAAGATATAAGCAATAACCGCAGAGTGTACATTAATATTATTTAACGGGAATTAACGCGTTCGCGTTAATTCCCGTTAAATAATATTAATTATCATGGAACGCGAAAGTTTAAAAGTTCGCAGAGTGTACAGTTGTATATACTGTTTTTAGGGTTCCGTACCTCAAAAGGTAAAAAATGAACGCTTTTAAGATCACTTTCTTGTCCGTCTGTCCGTGTGTCACCACCGATTTTCTCAGGAATGGGTAGACCTAGCAAGTTGAAATTTATACCAGATACTGAAGTCTATGGTCCTTATTAGGTGTATAAAAATCAAGGTCCGGAGTCAACACGATAAAAAGATATGGGCAAATTTCGATTTTCGCGAAAACTTGTAAGTCCCAAAGTTACCTTAAATTTCAACTTTTTTATTTTTCAGAATTTTCTCTTCTTGTATTGTAAGACCTTGCTTTTAACCAAAATTGACAATTCTAGGTCAACCGGAAGTACCCTATAGGTTTTGGGTCGAAAACCTATATGGTAGTTCCCGTTGACCTAGAATCACGAAATTTGGCAAAAAGAATCGTCTTACAGCACAAATAAAGGAATAATTCCAAAAAATAAAAAAAGTCTACGTAAATTCTGGGTAAGTACGGAAGCCTCGGCGCACGAGTTCGACTCGTAACTGGCCGGTTTTTTTTTGTTTTCGACAGGCAATGGTCGCGCATTTTGAGGTCTTGTTCGTTTAGACACGCGATGTAACAAATGACATAACCGGTATTCAATTATAGATAGCGTGATATCTACCTTCAATTTATACATGTACAGTCAACGACAAAAGTAGATGATCAAAAACGGATTGTCAAAACTACTGAACGATATTTGGAGCAACACTGGGTAGTGCTACAATGTTACAAAACTAAGTGATTATACAAGGTACACATAAATAAGTTGATTGAATAGTCAGCAAAAGTTGATGATCAAAGTGGTTTCAAAATAATTAGCTTATCAAACTGTTGCCAAAAGTTGATGATTAAAGACGTTTCAAATTAAGTGTCAGGAACATTTAGTGGTTACTAACGCGGCGTCCACCTGTTGACAACGAGTGGACATTGAGCGACGAGGTGTTGCTGGTTGGGTGTCGGGTGGGACTAATGAGCTATGACCTTAAGTCAGGTCGAGGGTGGTGTAGTATCCGGGAAGGTTTGCCACAGGTGGAAAAAAAGTGCTCCGTTTCGTTGTCAATCAGATAATTTATGGGTACTTTATTTTATCACTTAGTTTTGTAACATTGTAGCACTACCTAGTTTTGCTCATGCTTTGTTTTGATCATCTACTTTTGTCGTTGACTGTACATACATAAATATTATTTAAGTATTTATAAATAAGAGAAATGCCGCGGGAATCTCCGCAACCTTTGACGTCATAATATCGTATGCGCCGAATAACTTACATGACAGATAACATTAATTATTTCCTGAATTTTGATGACACGTAATGAACTCAAAAATACTTAACTTATTGTTACAGCCCCGTACATCAAGGTGTGTCAGCGAAATGACCCTAATGTCGACAAATGTATCATGAATTCTGTTGAGGAGTTACGGCCTAAGATGATTGCGGTAAGTTCTAAGTTAATTTATGTTATTTGAGGTCTGGCTCACAAAGAAACGAATCTACTTGTAGCTTCAGGGGTTGTTTGTTCGATTCCCAACCATTACAAATATTGTATGATGAGTACGACTATTTCTTCTGTGTCCTGGTGTAATTTATGTGCGTATGTAGAAATGTATAAGTATGTTCATAATCCTGCTATCGTGTCTTGATTTCATAACAAGTTAATTTATACAATATAGGCAATTGGTTGAAGTCAGTATATTTGATCCATCCTAGAACAGACTTGTCACCCTACTCCTGCCTACTGTCAGCACACCTTCCATCCCTAGAAAATAATAAAGAGCGTAATTGATATGTAGACCCAGGAATTACCTTAAAAGTTTTCAGTATCTGGTTCAGTAATTATTCTGCAATATAACTACACGAGTAATCGCCTTGGGTCAGTCAGCACACTATATACTTACTGGTTTACTGTCTTAGGTGAGATAGAAACCTATCAGTACTATTAGAATTACCATAATTATTGGATTTTATTTAAGGATTGTTATATAGATAATATGTCAGAAATCTCTAATTTATTATTTTGGATTGTAGAGATGTTCATTGTAAAGATAAGAATCATAAAGGTTTGGCTTTAATAGCCGATCGGTCTTCACTGAAAAAGTTATCCATACTACATATTTGATCAGAAATAAAAACAAACATCGCTTAAGGCTGCGGGTAAACAATTGGGGATAATAAGATTAAGTATCTATAGGCAATGTAGACAGAAGTAGGAGCGTTCAGGTGTAGGTTAGTAGTAGTAGCGCAGGTTTGAGCTCATGAGTTTAAGAACCGTTCGTAATAATCATTCAGATAAACATCAAATGTGTAATTAATGCAGTTATAGTGTATTTCGTAAATAAAGAAATAAACTTTATCATAAATAACGGCACTAGACCAATATGCATTAATTTAATTATATTATAACTTTATTAACTGTTTTACCTAATTTATAATTTTTAATTATAATAATAATCCAACTTAACTTAAGTTGCTTTTAATTCATATTTTTATTTTCTTGTGATGTTTGTGAAACTACTATACGTTTTTACCGTCGTTACTGCTTGATGTCGCATGTGAAATTCGTTTTCTCAACTAGCACCGGCCGCACTAGATCCAGCAGCAGCAGCGCCATCATCACCAACAGCTGCAGCGGTAGATCCATCGGCACTAGCGTCTTTGTTACCTGTAGCTGTGCTGTCAGCGCCTGCACCTGCTGTACTGTTGTCATTGGCAGCTGAAGAACTAGATCCTGCTTTAGCAGCATTTGCAGCATTTTCGTTCTTTGAATTGGTATTAGCACCTCCTGCAGTGGCAGCATTAGATCCTGCGGCTGCGGCGCTATCGGGGCCAGATAAGACTTCGCCTGAACTCGCTATCGTGACGTCATTGTCTTTATCTTCATCTACTTCATCAACATTTACTGTAACGGATACATCTTTATCCTGATCCTTTGATTCAGACTTGGTAGACGATTTACTTTCTATGAGTTCTCGGTCTTTATTGTGACTGGCAGAAGAATGAGCTGTTGATATACTTGAACTATTACCATCATCCCCTTTCTTATTTTTTAGTTCTACGATGACATTTACATTCGTTTTGTCCTTTACTTGAGGCTCACAGTTATACTCGGGGGTTTCATTTGGACGTCTCCTCGTATCAATTATAATGTTAGTTCTTCCAGATTTATTAGCTGTTGGTATAGATATTTTAACTGAATTTGGCTGAAGTTTTTGAATTCCTATTTGGCTTCGTTTCTTGTTGTTGAATGAGGAGTACGGTACAGGAAAGTTACGTGATGGAAACCCATCCAGATAGATGAACGGCAGTCGTAATTGAATTGTAGTACGCGGGCGGTTATCTGGTGCAGTTTGATATTCATCACACTAAAACAAATAAGTGCTTTTGTGTATAGAATTTTACTTCGTATACATTTATTTTATTTCTTTTTATATATTATTCGTCATATCAGAACCTTAACCTTAGTTTAAATAAATTAAATATAATGTAATATCAATTTGTAAACTTGTACAATTTCTTTTATATTACTAATTAAATTTCATTGAATCGTATTTAAAAATATTAATGTGGGGGTGTTCCGAGAGATAAACGGGTTTCTTTCTCTTCAAGTGGATCGAATGGCTATTTATGATGACTAGGAGTTATAAATATATTTATTTGAATAAAAGGGTAAACGGAACGTGGGCATAATTTATTAATTGTGGTTTTTTATTTTTGTAATGGATATGTCCTTTCGAAAACATTGAGGTTTTGTTAATAGTCTCACGACACCTGAGTCTTTGTTAAAGACAAATACAATTTAAATTCAGTGATCTACTTCTGGAATATTAGTTTATAAGAAATAATCTCAATTTTCATTTATAAAATGTTTGTAAATATCGTACAAAGTAAAAACAATTTGAAAAGAAATACTTAGATGACTTTGGTTTTTTTTAATAGTTAGTAATTGCTATTTTCTGAGTCTAAGAACATAGTTTACCTGTACCACTCCTAAGTATACCACCAGCACAAAAACTTTATAGAAACCCATATTGTTTTTCAGTTATAAGAATTATAAGACTTCTGCATTATCACCCCCAGCTTATATACACTAGAGTCTCCACTGATAGTATTAATTGGTGTAATTGTCGTACAAACTACAGCTTTTATTGGTCCTGTACCTAGAGACGGGCACGTAGGGCTCATTATAATATGCCGATAAATGTTGTCAGGTGTTGACGCACGAGCTCTAATTATTATAGTCAATAACACAATAATACCTTTTTTTATTTTCCGAAAGGGCTTGTGTACACTTAAAACGTAATTCCAGACTTTTTGCTGTTTTTAGACTCTTTTACAAGTAACTAGACATTTGGGTTAAAATGTATTCTTAACTCATAGACGGACCGGTTAGCCAGGTTCGATTCCTACTCAGTATAAAGAACTACATGATGAACACGATCATTTTATGCTGTGTCTGGTACTTTATCTATAAAATGTATGTTTTAAGTAATATATAATTATGTTTATCAGTAGTCAGTTTCTCAAAGGCTAGGCTCTGCCAAGATTGTGTATCTTAAGTCATTGGTGTTATTACAATTCATTAAATTGAATACCAAACTGAGTGAGTGAGTGAGTGAGACTCCAATTTTAGTAATAGGACTTTATAGATAGGTACTTGTATCTTGATAGGAAATGAAAATAACATAGATAAAAGTGGCGCTTAAAAGGTAAGGTCCAACAGTGGATAAATGTTTTTCTGATGCATATTTACTCGTATTCTATGTACATGCAATCTATGGAAGTGATTTCTTCGAATCAAGATTAGATTTGATCAATGAGCGCCGGTGGTCTTACACATTAAGCACATACAAACACTGATCACGGCTCGCCCGTTTTTTCTATACAGGCATTTTTGTAATGTAAACGTTGTATTATATAAATAATGTCTAAATTGTCACGTTTAATGTTATAAATATAACCTCTTGTTGCTTCAGTTTTGTGTATAAACTTTTAGAAGTACCTACACACGATTAAGGATGTTGCAATGACTAGGGACAAGTACTTCGTGAGTTGTGTAAAATCGAGTTAACATATCCTTGGGCATTTAATTAGTCTGAACGGTGACTGGTTACATGTTGAGAAACATCTTATACTAATAAATTGTTAATTTGAGACCTAAATGTGCGTTAATTTTGAGTTAGCCATATTATGGTAAATATTTTTTAGTTGAGTTTGCAAAACAATTTTTTTAGTACGTAAGACTTGTTTGTGTGGCAACCTATAAATTCGCACTTGCGGTGTCGTCTTCAGGTGCCAAAACTGTGCCTATAGCTCTAGAGGTCCAATAATACTACTTTAGGACTTATACTTCTTTTTTTTATGCAATAGGAAAGCGACTATAGCCGCCCATGAACGTAACTAGGGAGTCAGAAGCACGTTACAAGCCTTTAAGGAAGGAGTATGCTCTTTTCTTGAAGGTTTGAAGGTCGTATCGGTCCGAAAATACCGCAGCTGATAGCTTGTTCCACAGGTTGGTAGTGCGAGGCAAAAAGTGTCTTGAAAAGCGCACAGTCGTGGAGCGCCAATTATCTAAGTGGTGGGGATAAAAAAAATGCATGTGAAACGATGGCGGAAGCTTATTAGTATTAGTCCGAACAATTCATCGGAGCACTCTCCATGATATATACGATAGAGTATGCAGAGCGAAACTACATCTTTACGTAACGCCAAGGGATCGAGCCGGTCGGAGATCTCTTGGCTATCGACGATTCAAGTCGCTTTTCTTTGGATACGGTCCAGAGTGAGAAGCTGGTACTAAAGTACGTACGTACTGCGTAGAGATGAGAACAGTATTCTATATGCAGTCGGACTTGCACCTTATAGAGTAGGAGGCGATGGGCTGGAGTGAAATACTGCCTAGATCTGTTCAGCACACCGAGCTTCTTAGAGGCCAAGTTCATCTTACCTTCTAAATGACCGCGAAACTGGACTTCGCTCGATATCTCGATGCCTAGGATTACAATACTGGCTGCGGCAGTTAGGGAGGTGCTGTCGAACCGAAGCGAGATAAACGGTAAGACAAACGATATCTTTTTTGGGGTGTGTGTCTTTTTTTGGGTTAAAATTTACCAAATTCAGTCGAGCTCAACCTGAAACCTCCGCTAAGTAGTTCACGTGTGAATTACTGCTTCAACGGCAGAAAAGAAAAGGTTTTTTGCACCGCATCGTAACTAGTGATGAAAAGTGGATACAGTATAATAATCCATAAAAAATCGTTTGGTAAGCCCGGCCATGCATCAAAATCGTTTACAAAACCAAATACCCATGGTTCAAAGCTTCTTCTCTGTATTTGGTGGGATCAACAGGGTGCAATTTATTATGAGCTGCTCCAACCGAATGAGACTATCACGGGGGATCGCTATCGACTTCAATTAATGCGTTTAAGTCGAATCTTAAAAGAAAAACGGCCGCTATACGAGCAGAGACACGACAAAGTGATTTTTCTACATGACAACCCTCATTTAGCAAAACCAGTGAAAACCTACCCGGAAACGCTTCAATGAGAAGTTCTACCCCACCCGCCGTATTCACCTGAGATAGCCCTTTCTGATTTTTACCTATTCCGTTCGATGGCACATGGCCTAGCTGACCAGCGCTTTCATTCTTATGAAGAAGCTAAAAAATGGATCGATTCTTGGATAGCCTCAAAAGACATGTCGTTTTTCCGACGCGGCATTCATATACTGCCAGAAAGATGGAAGAAGGTGGTCGCTAGTGATGGGCAATACTTTGAATGAAATGTTTTTGTTCCTTATAATTTAAATAAAGCTTTTATTTTGTAAAAGAAACAGCGAGAACTTATTCAAGGACCAATAATATCGTAGTGGTTTTAAAAGTGTGTCATTGTCAACAGTTTCATAATAATAAAGCAACTGTGTCAAGATGATATTTGCAAGTTTCAAATATAAACACATTCTCAAAATTCATTGATCGAATTCCTTTTTCCTAACACTATAGATGCGAGTGTAATCAAACAAATAATGTAGTCAAACAAAGTTTGGCCTCTAAATTAATTTGATACTTTATTCTGTGTGCTAATCATATACAAACTAAATAATATATGTCACTTCAAAAGTTACATGTAAGAAATTTGTTTTTAGCAGCATAAAATACTATACTAAGCTTTGCATGGTCGTATGATTGATTTAAAGTTAACCATGTTTTCATAGTATGTACATACTACTATAGTATGTATGTATATAGTCAGTTGTTAGGCCTATCTAATTACAGGACAGGTATACAACTTCAAGTTGCCATAGATTCAGTATCTTTAATTTATTTGAGACTGGCTGTGTCCTATTGCATAGGTTAGGTCAGCATAAGTCCTGTTATTCTCTTGCTCCTTCCATTTTCCTTTATCATTTCTTTGTTTCATCTGAAAATTCCATAGAAAGGTTTGCGATAGGTAGGTGGACAGTCAACAAAACCAGCTAAAACACTTGGCGTTAGATAGAAATGGAAGAGAGCAGAAAGAATATATTAATTAATTATCCTTTAAATCTGTGTTTCAACATTGGTCATAATTATTTCATCATCATCAGCAGCCTAGAGTAGTCCACTGCTGAGCATAGGTCTCTTCTTAGAAAATAGGTTTTGACCTACTATACCACACCTGTCCAGACGGGTATGTGGGGTTTGTTCCAAGTTTTCCTTCTTTTTGTAGAGCTGTTGTAGTTTGCTCCCTTAGTCGGTTCTTAAGACACCCACGGGATGAAGAGGGGTAGTGACACTGCGTTTTATCAATCTATTACCACACTAATACTGACTAATAAGTACAATAATTATTTATCTGTTGCGTTTCAGGGTATTCCAGAGTTGGACGTACCTGGTATAGAGCCATTGAGTCTTGGTCAAATTGCGCTGGCTCGTGGACCTCAAGGTGCTAAGCTGACTGCTGTCGTCAATGATGTTAAAGTTCGAGGCCCTAGCAATTTCATTATTGAGGAGCTGAAGTGAGTATTTGTTCAATAAATGCAATGAAAATATATATGTTCTATATTTGGCTGGAATGTGAAGTAGCCGTTCGGCTGCCAGAAATTTTTTGACCGGTGAAGGTGGTAGGTAGAAATAGTGTAGTGTAACATATCTTTGCCTTTTTTGTTTTTTTTTTCCGTGCGGAAATCCCCTCGGATACCACCTGTCGGTGGCATGTCGGACTCGAACCGACTAAAACCGCACACCGTCTCGGGTACTAATAGCTGGGGAACCAGGTATATCCTAGAAAGGAAGTCCCTGGTGAACATATCTTTGCCTGGTTTTTTGTCTGTTACCAAAAAAAATCGCATCTTAGCTACATGTAACATAAATTAAAGGTGTTTCTAGCTGTAGTGGCTCCGGAACAAATAATATTTATGGTAGACTAGCCTTTGCCCGCGGCTTTGCCGTGTGTATGTCGGTTATCGCGGTGAAAAGTAGTTTATGGCACTCAAGGATAATATCCCTTTCTAATAGTGAAAAAATCGTTGGATTTCATTTTACACGTAGGTTTGATGGAATGTTTTATTGTTTTCGTATGTATATATTTTTATTACTCATGCACGTTGGAGCTGATAACACATGCGAAGAATGACTTTGAATTTGGTGCCTTTATTAAAACTAGATTTTGCCCGTGGCTCCGCCTTCGTGTGTGTCAGTTGTCGCGGTAAAAAGTAGCCTATGTCTCTTTTTTAAGAATCAAACTATCTTCATACCAAATTTCATATGAATCGATTCAACGGTTATTGACCCCCCTTTTTAGTGACTTTTGAGTTGCAGGTGCCCAGTGTTGCAGGCGGCGGTAGTTGCTTACCATCAGGTGACCCAACTACTCGTTTGAATATACCATAACCCCTTATATAAAATACCCCCTTATACCATAAAAAAAAGGACTGGAATGTTCCTAGGTTTTCCAGAGCATTATAATTGGCCATTCAATTAAGGATGTTAATTAAGAATAGAAGGTAGAAAATCAATGATACTTCTTAAAAAAATTATTAAATAAGTATCAATGAGCCCTAATATTACTTGTAAGCTAAATTTAAAGACTAAAAACATATCAAAATTATGTACACATTATTATAGACGTAAGTATTATAGGTAATGGCGTACGTGATGGGTGTGACACTTAAAACACTGTTTAAATAGTCGTTTAAGTGAAGATACCTTCTATGACTTAGTAAAACAAAAATACTTTGCACCAGAAACATCTAGAACTTTCCACTATAATTTAAATAATACAAAATATGCTTAACTGCAACACTTATTTGTAATCCTTAGTAAAACATGTAAATTAATTTGAAGTTACTACATTAAATTGACGATATTTTTAATAATAATCATATTTTATTATTGAAATTGTTCCATGTGGTGACGGATTAAGAATACGTAGTGTCATCACTCCTATTCATCCCGTCGGTGTCTTAAGAGCTGACTAAGGGAGCAAACTACGCAGGACAACAGTACTGCAAAGAGAAGGAAAACTTGAAACCCAACCCGTTTGGCCAGCGTGGTATAGTAGGCCAAAACCTCCTTTCTAAGGAGAGGCCTGTGACCAACACTGGACCATTAGAGGCTGTTGATGATTATTGAAATAAAGCGTGTTACATTAATTTAAGAATTCTCTAACTCCTGCAGTAGCAAATACTGTGTTGCAGGAGCCAGTGTCTTTATCGCTTATTTCAGAGGCATTTGTACTTTTCTATCGAATTAGGCTTTGAACTACTTTCTTATGGTATGGCAATGGGCAATGGGTAATCGAGCAGACGCGTCATCTGATCGTAAGTGACTACAGCCGTCCTTGGACATCTGCAACTCAAGAGACACAACAAGTGCATTGCCTCATTTTGAGTGACCCGCCAGAATTAAAGTCGTAGCTGACTTAAACGATTCCAAAGTATGAGCATTTAAATATGGACTTACCATCGTGTTGTGTAGACGCACTTCACAAAAACAACAAAAAAAAGCAGACAGCTTTTTTGGCTGTCTCCTTATTTGTACTGCAGTGCTCTTTCGTTGGTTGGGTGGAAGCCGAGTCATTTAAGTCGGATACAACCTTTAGGGGTATGGGGTTGACCTGCCGGAAAGACGAGGATAGAATCACGTGACATTTTTTGAAGCTGTGGTATCACTCCGGTTGAGCATATCGGTCAACATTTATCTATGGTACTTCCATTTCAAGTGCAGTATGTATATGCTTACGCAGCACCGTTGCGATTCGGCATTGAATCGACTTAAAATACGCAGCGTTCTTTTTACATACTGCTCAAAGGCCCGGATGTTGAATGTTAGGATGGAAATTCTTCGCAGCTAAGTTAGATATACGACTGTGTGTGAATTGGGTGTATGCCTATTTTTACTTCATTTTGCAGACAATACACGTTTCCCTCATTATTGTTAATTGTGTAGATAGTATAATTGTAAAAAAACATAGTGAGATAAAACGTAAATATAAAATAATGTTATAATAATATTACTAAAACGTACCAAAGACCAAAAAAAAAAAAACTTTAAAAGGTCTTTTCACGAATTATGTATTTCTGAGATTCAGTGTTATGGGTTTACACGTCAGTATTAAGTGATAGTTACCGTCAGCATTTGTTGCTAAGCTGTGTTTTTATAAGTTTAGCTTACATGAAAATTTATAGAAAAAAATATTTAATTTTTTTAACAATTTGGTTTTATGAATTCTAGGTCCGATTTAGACAAGAACAGGTTTGACTTTAAGCTGCTGCTCCCAAAACTGGACTTCGCTGGAAAGTACAAGATGGATATTCAGGTTTTGCTGCTACGTCTTCAGGGCAGAGGAAATATAACAGGCACTTTCAGTAAGTTTTCACTTTCTTTACTGTAACTCGTAATCAGAGACACTATTTCAGAAAGTACATTATGAACATACTTTGTCTGTGGTAAAACCAGTTTTAATATTATTCATGTAAAAATACTAAAAAAATCGTTAGCACTTAAACATATTTAATCTGCAAATGTTTGACTAAAGACCTCTAAACATATTTTCATTGCGCTATATGAACAAATAACAACGTCTGGTAAATTCATAACCCGTACCTACCAATTGTAATATTTTTTTACTGATAGAAGCTTCGGATTTCTCATTAATAGCCAATTGGAGTTAATTCGATGTAGAGCTCGGGATATTGGGATAGCCCCCAAACTGACCGTATAATTGACAGAGCAAATAAGTGTGAATTAATAGATAAAATGGTTACCGGTACGTTCTGAATAGTTTGAGAACAAAAAGCGGTTACCTCAGCATTAATAAAGAGAAAAGTTGGTCAGGCAGTTGCACAGGATGACGTTAGGTGTGCCATTACCACGCAGCTACGTGTTGGTGGCGTCACACGGGATTGCGGTCATCCAACTTAAGAATAAAGCGCTAGCGGTGAATTGTAGCCGACTTCAAAAAAAGGAGGAGGCTCTCAATTTAGTTATATGTTTTATGCTTGTTACCGCAAAACTCTGTCATTTCGGAACTGATGTAGACACAAACCCTATACCAACCCGTCTGGCCAGCGTGGTATAGTAGGCCAAAACCTTCTTTCTAAGGAGAGGCCTATGTCCAGCAGTTGACTATTAAAGGCTGTTCATGTGACACTTCCCGTTTAGTCCCACTTAAATTTGAAGACACAATACCACCTAAGGTGATGAGTTAAGAATCGAAAAATGCAGTTTGTGACATTTCATAACGTGTTCACTAAAATCTTATTGCCAACTAGTAGAGATTAAGAAAGTAAATTTTGCGGTCAGCAAATTTAAATATACATAACTATGAATGAATGGTATCTGTATATAGACAAATACCTTTTGAACTAAATGTCAAAAATCTTGGTAATTTTATATGCAATAATAAAAAATGACATTGTTATCACATCTTACTACTAACAATTTTCTCAGTATCACATCATATCACATCAACAGCCTATGATTGTCCACTGTTGGACATAGGCCTCTCCTCTAAAAGGAGGTTTTGGCCTACTATCCCACGCTATATGTAAAATATATAGCGTGGAATATTAAATGGCAAAATGGCAGAAATCTGCTCTTAATTGTGATCAATAATATATAATTTGACTGCACGGATGCCGTAGTGGATTCAGCGGTCGCCACGCCGCTCACTACTACGCTGAGTGTTGTGGGTCCGATCCCCACATGGGACGACACTTTGTGTGATCCATAAATTGTTGTTCTGAGTCTAGGAGTTCTTTGTGTCCGTTTCTTGTATGTTTATAACCATCCCCCGCAACACAGGATATATTCCTAATTCTTGGGAGTTGACTTAAAAAAAAAACATGTATTTACTCCATTTTAATTAAATTTTGCTGTTGGTAAATTCAATTGTCTATTGTATTCTAGTACTTGTACTCAATAGCAAAATATTTTAAATCTTTTACGTTTCCTAGCGCACACATAACTATATGTTTCATGAACTCAGCGTATTCAAACTGTATATTATGTTTCTATATTCAAGGTCTTTGAATATCAGTATATAGGTATACTAAAGTCAACCGTTTGGCAATATTTATTTATAACCAATAGCACTGTTGAACGTACATATGTCAGTTTGGTCTTAAACATAAGCTCCAACTGTACATTCGCATTGTAGTACGAGTATTTCACGAAAATTGCAAAAAATATTTAAGTATTGGTCTATTTGTGATAACATTCAAATTCGAACATTTTTGGTACATATTAATTTTCTATGGCATATTTAGCCAATAAAAATTAATTTATATTATGTCTCAAGGCAATGACTTAACTCAAAATTAATTTCTGGGCAATGAGCAAGAGATTTGTCAAGAATTTTGATTGTGTACGGTATTTCTCTCTTATTTATAACTCGCTTTGGCCAGCGGTTCCACCCGTGTGTATGTTGGTTATCGCCGTAAAAAGCCTATGTCCTGCCTCCTAATTCAAACTGTCTCCATACCACATCTAATTCGGTTTAGCGGTTATTGATTGCCCATACTCTTACTTCCACCCCTCTTTTCACCCCCTTAAAGGAAGATTTCTGAGATAAAAACTATCCTATGTCTTTTTTCGGGAATCAAACCATGTCTAACTAAATCTCATCTAAATCAGCCCAGAGGTTTAAGCGTCAAGAGAAAAACTTCGTCAGAAAGACACACTTTCATATTTGTAATATTAGTAATATGGATTTGAACTCTTTTTTAGAACAAATGAACATGAACAAATCAGAATTTAAGTTAGGTAACTTTCATTACACGTATAATTATTTTTTTTGGTCGAAAAATGATTCGATCAAAGGTATGGTTAAGGTACTTAATACCCATCGTGAGCGCGCTACAAATATGTCCTACACAAGATATTAAAACACTGTTGTTCTATCAAAACAACTTAAATATTCGTAGAGATTTTACTAAGAAGACTTTCATTAATTACTTTGGCAATTATTAAAGATAGGAATATAATTTGATCTTTATTTTAAAGTTTTTGTTTTTTAGAAGAATACATTAGATGAATATCAATGGCGGCATTATCGCTACAATGCAATCTCTAACAGGGGATAATCTAATTTTCAAATTGATTGACAAATTATTATGTAATGAGCACGATCATTTGTTCTGTGTCTGGGTGTAATTTATCTTTCGTTTAATTTAGTTTCAAACTAAGCAGGCCTTGTACTATGAAAGTTAGATAGATTGATAGAATACTTACCTATATACTTTTTATTTTTAAATACATACATATCATATATAGAAAACACCCAAACACCGAAACAAATATTTGCATATTTTACTAACATTGGATCCCATTCGAGAATCGAACCCAAATCTCAGCACACCCTGCAGTCGCAAACGCTACCACTGCACCACCGAGGCAGTCATAAAAAATAACTAACCATTAGACCAACAATTATTGAATACGTAAATGATAGCTACGAAAATATTGTTTAACTCGGTTCGTAAACTAACAATAAATACGCTCTCTTTTGCAACTTCTACTGCGCACCAAAGTTTACCAATGGCCTGTGCAATGCTCAACATATTACGCGACTACGTGGCTATCGGTGCTAGGTAACTGGGCAATAACATGCGACTAATACGTCATTTGTATTGGTCATACCATTGTCCAAAATAGCACGGAAGCCATATGCACCTATGAAGAGTATTGAAGAAAACGCAACATAGTCAACTACTTACTAATAACCTCAATGTAGCTTCAACTATTAAAAAAAATTAAAAATACCTTGACCTTTTAAAAATACTTAGGTCTTTTAGGTTGATTTACCTTTTTATAGTAGTTACCTAGTTATGGAGTCCGTGTGGTAACGGATTAAGAATACGGATTGTCCCCACCCCTTTTCATCCCGTGGATGTCGTAAGAGCCGACTAAGGGAGATAAACTACGCAGGACTGCAAAGAGAAGGAAAACTTAAAACAAACCCTATAACGAGCCTACTGGCCAATGTGGTATAGTAGACCAAATCCTCCTTTCTAGGGAGAGGCCTATGTCCAGCAGTAGAATACGTAAGGCTGTTGACGATGATGATGACCTATTAATATAGATATCACACCATGATATTTTACTAATAACTAAGGCAAAGTCAGGTCTTAGCAAAGTTTGTTATAAGACATGATATCCATAAAGTAATTCAACAGCTTTTTGATAGTCATTTGAATACTTATTACTCGAACTCATTACTGCCCGAAGTTCCAACGCTTCTAACCTAACAGTTGGCTTAAATAACGAATTTTATCAAAAACCTAAAGATACTGTTTCATTTAAAAAAAAGACAACTGGCGCACTGTGTCATTACAAACATTCATAAAATGGACACAAAGAACAACCAGACTCTGAACAACAATTTGTGAACTACACAAAGTGTTGTTTCATGTAGGGATCGAACCCACAACACTCAGCCCAGTAGGAAGCACCGTGGTGACCGCTTAAACCACTAACGCCACCTGTGCAGTCAAATTGCATTTCTATTAAAAAATAAAATAATCCTAATACCCTTTACCAATATTTTTTTGTTTGTTTATTTACAGAGGACTACGCGTGCAATGTTACCATGAGAGGGCATAAAGAAATTCGAGGTGAAGAAGAATATCTTCAGTTTGAACCCTTCAAAGTAAAACTTCGTGTGGGTCAATCTTCCATTTACTTGACTAACTTGTTCGATGGCGATCCAGTTCTGGGACCTGCGACTAACAGAGTAATCAATGAAAATTCGAACGTATTCCTAGAAGAAATTAGACCGGTCCTAGAAAAGAGCCTTGGAGAACTCTTTACAGAAATGGCCAATAAAATAACGTCTAAGTTTACTTATAAAGAACTATTTCCGTGAAAAATACCAATAAAATATACCCTAATATCTTTGTAAGCCAATTGTGATTTTTGCACATTCGAATAAGTATTTCTTCAGCATAAGTTAATTGAAAAGGTTTCTTGAAATTGCAAAAGTTCTCTTAGAGGCTGAATCTATTACAAAAATGACGTAGCTCAAAATTACGACAGTCATAAGTTCAAACATTTTTTTATTTTTACTGTGTTCATCTAAAGTGCCTGGATGATCGATATTTTTTTAATGGTAAATTTTCTAAAAATCAAACCTAGTTAGATCGATTAATCGCCTAATAAAGGGGGTTCCATGCATACTAAATTTCATGAAATGTAAGCGTACGATGGAGCCGTATCCGAGATTCAGATTATATATAAACAAGCATTGCTCATTTAAAATGTATAGAAAGACAATTTTTGTACAGCGGTTAATCTTATTGTAAAAAGGAAAGTATTAGGTATTGGTAGTTTAAGTACTAGATTAAGTTTGTACATAGTATTTTAGGTTTATTAAACATATATCGACTGACAACATTTAAAATTAGGCAAACTTTTATGCCTTTTTAAACGTTATTATATTGCGTATAAAAGATTTGTTTAGAAAAAAATCATGTAGGCATATTTTCATTCATATTTACGAAAGTACTATGATTGTTTAAAAATGTTATTGCGTCACTTTCATCTTTTTGTACCCCATCTTGAATTACTCAAAGTGCGCAGTATTTTTAAGTAAATAATTATGTCAATATAATTTAATTATTGCTATTCTTACAGGCGTTTTTTTAATTTATAACATTCTTTCTCTTTTCTTTTTATTACAATAAAACATTTATTGTTAAAATAAGCTATTTTACTTTTAATAGTAATTCTGACATCTAATATAATTCTGATATCGTTGTGTGTTACAACGATATCTAGTTTCAAAATAAGCAGAACTTGTAATATAGAAAGCTAGATTGACTAATGGAATACATGGTTATTCAAACTTTTCTATTGTAATTATTGCTATTATCCGTTAAATTAACATAAAATCATTTTTTATTTGAAAGAATTATTACTGGAATTCAAATTTTAAGCTTTAGACTATACATAATTTAATATATTGTATTATTGTTAAGAATTGGGAGAAAATGAGAAAATATATAATTGTCAGAGATTATTGTTGTATTTACTTAAACCACTTTATTGTGGTATTTACTTAACTACTTTTTTTTAATGGTGTAAAGGTAAATGAGCGGACGACTCACCTGATGGTAAGTGATAACTGCCACCCATCCATGGACACTAGCAGCTGAAGAGTCACAAATGCATTGCCGGGTTTTATGTGCCTCGGCCAGATTTCTTGGTAAATCGAATAGTCCACTGCTGGACATAGGCCTCTCCTTAGAAAGGAGGTTTTGGCCTACTATACCGCGCTGGCCAGACGGGATAGTATAGGGTTTGTGTCAAGTTTTCCTTCTCTCTGCAGTGCTGTTGTTCTGCGTTGTTTTGGGCCCTAAGTCGGCTCTTACGACACCCACGGGATGAATTGGGGTAGTGACATTCCGTATTCTTAATCCGTCACTACACGGACTTTGACATCAAATTATATAAATTAGTGGTCGAAATTCGACCATGATTAATTTAATTTTTAAGTTTGAACTTTATGTATGTTCTTTTGTCAAAGACTACCTCTATAATCCAAGGTTTCATCATATACAAGATATTTCATTTACATGTACATCTTTAATGTACACATAAACATGTGTACATTAAAGATGTTAAATAATATTGCCTGATCAACGTGTTTGATCGTTATCGGTGTACGAATATAAAATTACTTTTACAATACTAAGGCAGTTATTATTACATGTAACATTAAATCATTTAATAACATTAAAGACATAAAACGACGACAAACAATTACAACGAAAGGACTCGAATATCATAATTATAAGTGTATATTATTAACTGAATATTAACTGACTATACTCGTATTATTTCATTTAACATAAATATATTTACTGCATTTAGTAATCCTTCACCATACAAAAAATAAAACAGTTAAAATAATTTGTAACTTAGCTATTATAAATATTCTGATACATTATATTATTATAGTCATAAAGTGTTGTCATTCAAGAAATCCTCTAGTTTATAATAACATTTTTCAGTTAATAATGTTTTAAATTTGACTGCACGGATGGCGCAGTGGTATAAGCGGTCGCCACGCCGCTTCCTACTGCGCCGAGTGTTGTGGGTTCAAACCCCACATGGGACGACACTTTGTGTGATCCACAAATTGTTGTTCTGAGTCTGGGTGTTCTTTGTGTCCGTTTCATGTAGGTATGTTTGTAAAGTCCCCCGCGACACAGGATATATTCCTAATGCGGGAGTTGTCTTTTATAAAAAGAAAGAAAGAAAATAAATTTTGTCTTAAATTCGTCCATGTCCAGGATCTTAATATATTTGACACTTTTATGCAACAGGGCTGTTTTTGCTGGATGGACACAGTTTCTATCATTAAATTGTCTGATAGCATAGGAATAGCATAGCATAGGAATAAGTGAGGTTTTTTTTTTATAAATGTAGCCACCTACAATATATATTGAAACGGTAGTGTAAGAATTTTGTATTTTTTTTAAAGCGGATTACCACTTTCACTATTTTGGATTCCGAACATGGCTCAAATGCATCGCATATTGCATACAAGTCGAATTAGCCCAGAAAATAATGCCTTATCACAAGACCGACTCAACAAGGCCAATGCTGAGAGAAGTGCGTCAGTAGTAAGTGTTGGAGCAAGTTTAAATAATGCATATGATAGACTTCAGATTCTTTTACTGAATGTTTCAACCTGATCTTTTCAAGCCAATTTACTATCTAAAATGAAGCCAAGAAATCGAGCGTTGGTTACTTCTTTTACTGTATAATTGTCATAAACTAAATTTACTTGATAGATAGATAGATAGGTCCTCTTTATTGCACACTATTATTAGGATACATGCGATGATACATACAAAAAAAAATACAGTGATACAATGGCCTTATCGCAACCTGCGATCTCTTCCAGGCAACCTTTAGATGGACTATAATATAAAGTAATATGTAGCATGTGGTGCGCATTTACAACTTCCTTATATTAACTAATGTTTACATACATAATTACACATTCACGAATATACATTCATATACTTACATACATATATAGAAATGAATACATACATACACATACCAATATAGCACATAGTTATTACGGAGATAAATAGTATAGAGATAAATTGCAACTGAGTCTGCATTCTCTGATTAAAATGCATTATACTTGTTTTATTCAAATTAGTTTTTAAATTATTATTAGTGAGCCATGCAATAATAGATGTCAATGAGTTATTAATGTCAATTTCATAATTGTTGATATCTTTGCATGAAATAGTAACTGTACTGTCATCGGCAAATAGCGTCATTGGATGAATTGTTGCATTTGGTAAGTAATAATAATATAATATTAATATTCTACCGCATTCACACAACGCCATCTAGTCACAAACTAAGCAGAGCTTGTGCTATGGGTACTAGACACCTGATATAAATACATAAATACTTTTTTTTTGTAAATAAATACATATTATACATAGAAACACCAGACCAAATCAAACATTAAATATTCATGCACATAAATGTTTGACTTGAGCGGGAATCGAAACCACGACCTTCGGTTTAGCAGTCAGGGTCACTAACCAACAGGCCAGTAGAAATTGTGGCAATAATTACAAAAGAAACAACGACATCTATTTTATAAACTAAATAATTAATTGTCGTGTAGTACATTTATAACTCCCTAGAGGGCAGTAGTATTTCGGTGTCTACGTGAAAAGTAGGCAATCATTAAAACCTTGTATGATACATTTTTGCCGATACATTTTTTTTATTTTATTTATTAATATCTTTATTATAGACACTTAACGAAAGATGAGTTACAAATATTTAGACGTAGCAATCGGCAACGTAACGTAACAATTTTTAATTTGAATGTCACGTAAAGTTTAAAGCAAAAACGAAAATAATAGTTTATTTCAATATAGGCGTTTTCCCTGGACTACCCTACCGAAGTTTCATCATGCCCAAACATACCAAGTTACAAACATTGATTTTTATTTATATAGATGAAACTTAATTATATTTTTTGTTAATAATTCGTCCATAAATAAATTAAAGTTAGTGGTTGACGTAAGCCACATAAATGTATTACGTAGACTAGGTAATAGATGGTTCGCTAGTATATACTTAAATTGTAGCAAATTCGATCATTAGTACCAAGAGTTCGAAAATTAATATTTGTATTCAAACATTTACGGATAGCTTCAGTGTTTGTAGGTCGGCACCTACAAACACTGAAAATGGTTTGCTCTGCTCTCCCTCACTCTATACTGACCTACTGTGTTACTGCGTGGGGTGGATCAGTAAAATCTCTGACATTGCCTTTGGAGCGTCACAGCGGGCTGTGCTAAAGGTTATGGCGATGGCTGCATCAGCCGGAGACGACGGGGGCAGCGAGGCTGATGTTCCGCCCGTCAGGGAATCGGAGTTGGGGGCGGCTGTTCTACCAAGAACACTGCCCCCGGGCCGGACGGAGTTCCAGCCCGAGTGATGGCCCGAGCCCTCGACTACATGTCGGACCACCAGGATGTGAGCTGCTGCGGAGTGTTGTTGGCGGTGTCCTTGGACATCGCCAACGCCTTCAATAGTCTGCCATTCAGCTGCATCAGGGAAGCGCTCCGCCACCACGGAGTGCCAGAGTACCTGAGGCGGCTGGTGGCAGACTATCTTGAGGAGCGAACCGTCATGTACGAGGACTGAAATGGTGTCTTGAGACGCAGGGCCATGTCGTGCGGTGTTCCGCAGGGGTCTGTCCTAGGACCGCTCCTGTGGAACATTGGGTACGACTGGGCCCTACGAGGGCGTCTCCCCCCCGGGCTGGTGGACACTGAATCCGCCCTAGGGCGACTTTTGCCCAATTTGGGCGGGGCC